TAAACGTGCCCCACAGTATCTTTGTTGATTTAAAATAAGCAAAATAGTAATTTTTCTAATGATAATCTACGTAATTTTTCAATAAAAAGAAAATCTACGGTTGGATATTAACCAAAAATAAAGAACGTATCAAGAGACCGCATCACTTAGTTGGCAGTTAAAAAACTTTATACTATCTTTCAAACAATAAACTTTCAGAAGCGAACCTTTAATATAAGAAAGGAAAATATAACGCAGATTAATAGCAACAACATAAACATAAAGTTAGCAACAGCAAAAGAATACAAGCGAACGTATAAAGACTCCTCGGAAATGGATATTACCCGTGCAGGAGAAACCTCGCGTTCACCTTCTCTCACTGGCGTACCGTGAAAGAGAGGGACGACCGGTATATTGCGAACGTTCAAATGAAGACAAACTAGATACGATAGCAGCACGTGCAACACCTGAGAATTTGTGTAACCTTGACGAGGCGGGACGTGAGCAACTGGTATATTTTTTCTCCAGTATCGCGAGAAAACAAATCAAGACATTATAATAATAAGCCATACATTTGAAATATACAGAAGCAAAAACGTTTCAAACAAAACATCTTACGTATGCAAAAGTACCTAAACTTTGTTTACGCTGAACAACAAGCGCAGATTACGATTGCCACAATCTTGGGTTTACAAAACATTTTGTAGTTCAACGAGATGCATTACTTTAGTCATTTACACAAAGGTATCGTGTGTGTGTCAGTGTTGTTGCAATAGTGATAGTTTGTTTATCGACAGTCGATCTTAACACATACACAGCTATAGGACTATCGAAAACTACCTGCTTTCAACGGCTCTCACGTACAGTCGGAGAAATAACTAAGAGTTTTTTATCACGCCATCACTTTTAGAGGCATTCAAATAAGCAAGATAAAGAAAAGTAGCCGATGTCACTTTTAATCTGGGAAATGTATTTAAATTTCATTTACAACAATATTATGGACATTTTTTTTACGAAATAAAGTATTTTTGCGATAGTATGCTGATGCTACTGTGACCTTGAGAATTAGTCGATAGATATTACTATCATCAATAGTATCCTTCCTCCTATAACAAAAATCAACAATCACTCTGGAACCTTTGCGAGTTTAAAGAAAAAGAATTCTCCACCATGTATGAAAATAATGTGAACTTACAAAGTGTTATTACGATAACATCGTCGATCAATAGTATCATATTGAATATATAATAGTATCATACTGAGACAATGTGGTGGTTTTTCAAAGACAAACTATCGATGTCGAAACCAACGTTAAACTCAACTGCACTGGTGTCAGCAATAGGGATTCATATACATAGGTACTCGTATCGGGCCCGTTTTGTGCTGTGCGGGAAGTTTAATTACACTTGTTTATGCATATGTGTCGTACGTCGGAAAGTGGGTCGTTTGAGTGCAAGCAGACAACCGAGATAAGCCAGCCGCCTTTAAAACGTTTAATAACACAAATTGTTTGTGTTCCCTCCACACCTCCCAAATTAGTTGGGTGTTCTCAAAGTCACAATTGTCTGCTGTGACATTACGGGACACACAACTAAATATGAGCGTGTGTTTAGCGTTAAATTTACACTAAAATAAAGACAGCGTCTTTGTTTATATCCCGCAGAAGTTTGAGAAATGTTCTCTGATGCGAATGTTATTTGTAGAGTAATAAGAAACACGGAATGTTCAAACGAATTTTCCGCGAAATCGCATCGCTCATTATCAAGTCGGTCGACAAAGTAAACATTTATCGGGAGGCGGCAGTATATTTTGGCGGGCACTACTAAACGAGGCGTCGTCAGAGGAGCGTTATAATTAGTGACGTCACAGCGGCGTAAACACGCCTCGACCTCGAACTCGGCTCCACGGCGGCCGACATTGGTCGACTTCGGTGTACCGCATCATCTTCCGCGAACGTTGCATGACTTTGAGAATTTATTGTGGTATTTAATGATCGCCATAAAGCGAATGAGCCGGGTAATGTCCAACGTCGTTCACCAGTTAGGCGGCATCGCTTGATGTGATATAACTGACATTTTGCTAACAACACAAAGGGGATGTAAAATTATAAATAAATTAGCCTTTAATGACACATTTGATGGTAACTTGGCACACCGATTCTGATAGAGTAGGTAATAGATGAAGGCTCTGAAGATCATTCGCAATTAACAAAAAACTTTCGATTTAATTGATTCTCACAACAAAGTATTATGAGCAAAAGGGGCTACCAATAGGCATCAAATTTGCAAAGAAAACCGATACTAGAATCCACATTAAAACTGATAGACATCAAATAACAATAAACGATGTGATATTCGACACGAAAATTATAGTTAAAGAAATACACTTGTATAATCGTCAACGTTTGTTCGACGCCGTCATTTAAGAACTCGACAGTGCAGAGCACACTCCGTTGGAACATAAACAGCATGCTTCACTTTTACTGCTTTTGTACACGCGATGAGAGAACGTTCGTCGGGACCAGATATACTAGCAAGAAAATGTAATTTGTGTTGTCGCAACCGATGTTTGCTCATGAAATGCTGGTTTCTTTATAACCACGATTGAATTGGCAAAAAATATAGATTTAAAACTATACCTTCATTTAAATTTTAAGTCAAGTTTTGTAATCAACAATTCAGCATACTGGGCATCATACCCAACTAATAATTAGATTTTTCGAAAAAGAAGTATGTGGGTACCAAATTAAGGAGCTTTTTGCCGTGAAGAAATCTCTTTTGAATAGTAGATATACTATAACAACTTGCTAAAACTATGTAATTGAAGCGAAAGTAAAGATAATGATTTATCGATATAGTAACTGTTATTATTATACATGTAAACAAGTTTTCCAATTAGGTCTTACGTTCGGTCGTGTATGCTGAGAGCAATGCTATTGGAATGTATCCTTTGACGAGCAAAATTCCACATATGTATGTAAACTAAACATTAACGGCCCCAGGCATCTGTACTTGTATATCAATATTTGTAATTTGTGTGAACATGTTTGGCAATTCTAAATACGATTCTAATGAAAACCAATGGAATTCATTGAATTCAATCATCATCATCATGAAATTGATGAATTTCAAATTAACACCATAAAAGACTTGACGGATATGGGGTTTTGAAACATTGGAACACTTTCTACTCATCAGCGATATTTTGCTAGTCTATTTTACGAAATCAATAAACATGATATTAGACTTAAGGAAGTCCTAATAATTATTTCACCTCGAGAACTCATTAATTCTTTTGAAACACAATTAAATGGGATTTCTCTAAGAACTTCAAAACTGCGTGAGTTCGTAATGAAGCAACAAAGCATTCGTTTACACGGGAGCTAAGAATATAATTATTTTGCCCTATGAATAATGTTTAAAGGTATGTAAAGGTTTAGTGTAAGTCATTTTTAAAGACTGTTTTTGTATCCAAGTAACATAAAAACATTACAGCACAACGCCTTCCGAATATTGATGAAATGCTAAAACATATTCAACTATATATACGACAATACAAATAAATTATAGTTACAGGTTGAAACTAATGCTCAAAACTGTTTTATGAATATATAATAACAGATTTTTTGATAATGACTAAGCAGCAAAAATATTAACCGTAACGAATGAGAGGATAAAATAGCGGTTATTTGCAGGTAACTTTCCTGTTTCCTTACCCCTCTCAACCCTTTTTAAATTGTTGACTACTTGAAAACGACAAACATTATGTTTACGAGATTGCTTCGTTGCGACTCTTCAGTTGGAAGGTTTTTTATCGTTTGATGGGATCCCCACGTTTTTCTTATATTTTTATATATTTTCGAGAATGAGATCACTATCTTTTTATTGATGCGGTGTTGGAATAAGATGGTTGCCATTCACTAGACTCTGTACTGGACTAAAACCATTCACTAGACTGAAGAAGAGTCCACAAAATTAAAGATTGCGAATCATATTAGGAAAATTATTATTTAATTTAATTACCTATTATCTTACTCGAGAAGTCGAGAGCATACACATGTCCATTATTTGTATTGATACACAACGCCCAACACTCTTTTAAAGTTACAAAAAATTACTATTAGAAAATGTTTATAACTGTGGTAGGTGCTATTCGTTTCGCATTCGATGATTTTTCATATTAAGGATGGCACATATCGATCTTCGGTGATTCAGATATGTAGAAAAAATGACGAATGAAAAAACTATCGAAACTGATATCCAATACGAAAATGGAGTGACGAAGAAACCGTGGAAAACTTCCTTTCACGATCAAATTGATAGCGTGTTTTTAGAAGACGATGTCAGAAGCCGTAAGCATCCGCGAACATGTATGAAAAAAGAGCTATGAATATCAAAGAAGCGTCTGTAATTATTGTGCTTTGTAGCGGCCTTGGTCTCTCTGTCTACCCAACAGGGAATCTGGCGTGAAGATACATAGAGATACAAATGCATTCCGTTGTTAATATTATAGTCTGTGAAGCCTCTTCAAAGATACGACATGATGGCGAAATCTAATCCATAAGAGTTATTTATCGCGGTCGAGACTTTCAGCATTGAGAACAAAAGATGCGAGAATAATGAGACCTTGGAAAAATAAGGATCCTAAACAGACGAATTCAGGCTTAATATAAGAATTGAGCCAGGAGACTCTAAAGTATCTAATTAAGAACAGAGCTAATTTATTTTCAGGTATAATTGTTATTGTCAATCTCGCCACTATATTGTGGAACTGTGTTTGGGCTGCTTATTGAGAAGACACAAGTGTGTAAAGTCCTATATTTAAACATGGCATTTTCTGAAAAAAATATTTTTCAATCATTTTCCTCACTAAATAATAATGTAAATTGAACTATCTCTGTGAACTAGCAAAGAATACAAATACATGTCGTATCCCTCATATGAGTTGAGCTTCATTCAGGAGATTGGTTTTGCCAAGTCGGCAGTGTCAATTGCGTGGAAGTCAAAGCGATTGTTACTCACCCTGAATGGTGCCGGGAAAAGCGACGATGCGTCGGGCTCAGCGGCGTGAGCGTGCGACATTTGGTGCGCGCGCGCCTGTCGCTCGCGCTCGCGGTCTCGCTCGCGGTCGCGGCCGGCCCACGCGCCGCCCGACCCGCCCGAGCTACCGCCGCCACCACCGCCACTCCCGTTCCCGCCCCCACCGCGGTCACGGTCCCACTTGTCGTACCTGAAACAATGACATCGAAACATTTTATTAGAAAAGCTAAGCTAATTTTATGGTGTTTTTACACGAGGCACTAGCCAAGACAATCCACGAAAACCCAGTCAGGTATTTGCCTCTTGTTAATGATAATAACCTGGAAGCCGGTCCAGTGAAATAGATCGTTTAATCGAATCGATCGCTGGAAGTTATGAAAATCGACAAACGACTTCCTGGATATCTGATAGAATTTCACTAGAAGCACAAGGCCAATGCAAGTCAAATTTTAAAAAATTGAAGAATTATAGTAGAATTAGCAAAAACGAATATTAATGAACAACTATAAATAAGTAAGATATAGTAAACACACATGACATAACCTTTATTGTATGCAAAATATTACGAAACAGCACAGGCGTTTCTGTGTTTAGGGGTCAACACAAATTTATCTAAATACCCGTTACACAATGTGTTTTTTTTTTTATTATAAGACAAAATATTGTTTGGAATTGAAATGTTTTATCAAAATATATCATAACAGTATTTATTAAAAGCAATACTAAGATAGCACTATTAAAATAACCTATAAAGCTTATCAACGGGAAGTGAAAAAGAAAAGCTAATGGGACAAAGTGTTACTAATATTATTAAGAGGAAAAATCAACTTTTTTATGTTTTTTTTTCCATCCCTTACAAATGCGGTGTCATTTTATTTTTTATTACATCATCTTATTTAGACGTCATGTCTTTGTACAACACGTAAATGATACAAAAATTTAAGTAAGTGATTTTTATTGTAAGCAACCTCTTTATGAAGCCGACAATAAAGTCGACAATACAAATTGCCATACAATAAGTAATTTACAATACAGCGCGAAATAAATAAAATTGGTAAATGTAGGTAATAATATTGTTAGTCTGAATTAACTCTTGACCTCAGTCTAGCAGAGTTGTTAACTCGCCAAGCATGTTATAAAAAACAAAAAAAATCGAGGCTCAACATAGTTTGAAAAACATCGCGAATTTTTTATGTTATGTTTTGTTTTAATTTTACTACATTTAGTGGGAAAACCAGTGTGTAACATATATTCGTTATTAGCTTTATTAATAATCACATAGAGGAGTAAGAAGTCAAAGCAAAATTCTCTCTTTATTCAAATTGATAATACAAATCCAATTGTTATAGATTATTTTTCCCTGGCACCAATTTAGAACTAAACATTCAAATTCCCACACTGGTGGTCTCACACATTAGTCGGACTAATAGAATGGCGGGTACTATTAGTAGGAAAAGTAGGATAATATAAACATTACAAACAGCCGTTTGGATCCATTAATTAATATTATGGAGACATGTCGTGATGACATCATATTATTGCCCATTTCAATAATTACTCTGATAAGAGTGGAATAATTTATTAAATTATGTTTATTGCGAAACAGAACGGATAACAATCTGATAGTGACACATTCCAGGAAACAGAGAGTGCACAATGTGTAGTGCTAGTGCATTTGGTCCACGATCGGTGAAGTTAAGCAACTTTCGGAAAGGCCGGTCGTCGGATGGGAAACAAAAAAAAATATTTAGGAAGGCATGTCAAGTGTTGGTCTTTGCTACTGTATGTAATCGTTGACACCCATCAATCTGTACTAGGTCCACGCGGTGGGATATAATGATCTATTCCTCATGTATGATTCTATCCTTAAAGAAGGTATGTACCTGTGCCGCAGCAGGGGATGTCGCCATGGTGATAATGAGTTGTGTATATTGTCAAACAAAGCGTACAATTTAAATAAGCTTATAATAACTAATACAAATTGTATGTATATAAATTTGTTATACGTATACATCAAGTTGTACTTCACGAAATCTTGGCCTCATTGTACACGTTTAATATTTTAATTCTACATAACGTAACGGGCTTACTTCGCAAACGTTAATTAAGTTTTATGTAACGCCAACGCAATAATCAAGGAATGTTTCTTACTCACGAAATAATTATACACCTATCAAATTAAAAACAACATCAATATCTAGCTTATTAAGTATTTAAAAGTAAATAAGCGTTGAGATGAAAGGGTTTTGAATAAGTTAAAGAGTAGCCTCTCTAGGTCCTGAGTGCGATTCCCTATCGGGGAATGTTAGAAATTGAATTGTCTGGATACCATTATCTTTATTGTTTTAGATTTTTAATTTAGCGTCTTAATTTGGGATCTAATATTGTAATACTGGCTAATATTAACAAAAAATATTTAAATTAACCCAACGCTAATCTGTACAGGTTTTTTCATTAGCATAATATTGAATAAAAAATACTATCATATATTTACCCTATATAGATAAAAACGTTTACATAGTTTCATACCTATTTAATTTAAAAATATATACTCCTCTACACTATGACTACACTATGATATAATAAGTTTACTTCTTCAAACTTAGTCGGTAACAGAATCAACTGTAGTTAATGATAATTAAAACAGATTCACTGCAAGAAACTGCGCACTGTCGCATTATAAACAACCGGACACTAGTAGCAATATATGTATGTGTATAGTTAAGGGTCCATATAAATTGGTACTATTGAAGCGAGATTTTACTACGTCGTCGCTGCCTAAATATATGACGCTGACTATAATGTCGTATCTAAAAGCAAGAAACATAATATTCAAAAATCAAAGTTCCCACCCATATCGTACAATTAGCGTAGTTCCACGTAAACACGGGCCTAACTCGTGCGTGACTCGTTTGGAACCTTCCACGGGCCACCCAGGATGCTCAGAAACGGCAGTTACATAATATCAGTGCGGACAAAAGTGCGTGTATTACTAGGGTCACCGATAATGCGATATTTAATTATTAGCATAATTTAAGAGTTGTTCAATAAAGAAACCTAACATAATCTAACGATCTCAGTAACTTTTTTTTAAGTTTTCCATTTTTGTGATTTCCTCATACAAATGTTGATCAATTTAATAAAATATTCTATTACTATTAACAAATTATTACATCTCTACTCGCCGATCGAAATCGGAAACCTTTAAATGTTAAAAGTAGTGATATTAGATTACCGCAAGGCAAATGTTCATATATCAATAAATTATTGAACCTCAATCTCAAACGTTTGAAAGAGTAAATGTAACATTGAATATAAATAATAAAATAAAAAATGAAGTCATTCTAATTACATTAGCCCAAATCTGACAGCACATTGACGCGACAGAAAAATATGTCGGTGGTATGGCATATTTCCTCATAAATCAGGTAACGTTTCTAATCTGGTAACCCTACACGTGGCGGAGTGAACGTGGCGCGTTTATTTACCCATTCAACGCTTAGCATTTTTCCGAATAGATAACAACAACAAACACGTGTTGAGCGCTTTTAAAAATTACTCTGACACTGAGACGCCGCCGCCGTTCCGCCGTTACAATACCCTTTTACAAAAAGCTTTGTTGTTCCGGAAACATAGCGATGATTATCTTTTTAAAATATCTGCATAATAACTTCTTAATTTGTATGTTACCCGGCTGTCTAAGATCACATAAACATTGTATGAACTCAAAAAACAATCTACAGAGTCTGCTGTTAGTTGAACTGTTAACCTGACATATCATTCACGGCTTCAGTTACGCGGTAAAGCCGCAAGTTCCCAACGCAATAAGAATTCCAAGTCTATTAGCATAAATTACGTGGAAAAATGTGTGGACAGTATTGACAGTACTCTACGACTATTGACTAAAATCAAAGATCGCCTTAATTTGGTACAACATTTATCGTACTAAATTGTCAAGAGAGTAGTCCGAGTTGTATAATATATGTATTATTTAAACTTACAACTGTATAGTATAAAACACTTACTTCGATCACATGAACGCACTTATCACTTCAGTAGGTATTAATATTGAAATTCAATTAATATGCTGTTTAATATTAAATAAAACACAAGAGATTATTATGTATGACCGATTGTGTGGAGGATTTGTAACGAATATGTGCGTTTACCGAAGCATCCGAGCGAGATAAAAACCAGCGCTCGCGCAACATACTCTGCGATAATAAGTGTACAACTCGGTACAAAATTGCTTTTAACAAACATTACGAAACGTTATCTATGACGCATTAGTTAATATATTTATAAAACAAATATATCCATCTTTTACCGTTCTAAACACTATATGTTTGATAATAGCGAATGTCCGTTATCACAATAATTTACGATAGCTAAATTACTAGTAAAATTATTTATCTTCCAGTAAAAATATTGTAAATATTAACCCGTCCTTTGTGCCCAAGCGTGGATTCACTCTTCTAATCGCTAAACGGACGATTGCTCTATCTATTCAGCTACCGAATATTTGATTGAAAATGAACATTGAATGAAAATGTACCATATGTCCCAAATTGACTCTCGACCTGCCCCGAGATAACCAATCTGAAACCTTTAAAATGTCAGCGAGACTATTGAAGTACTGGTCACTATCACTGCTAGTAAACTAATTTTCTGAAATATTTAACATTGAATTAATTAATCATCCCAAAATAAATAATGAACATGAAACATCAATTGTATGTCCAATAACTATAACAAGTTCACACGATTAATGTCACCGTAGCAACTAGCAAATGAAAATTTAATTTCATATATACGCTCACCAATTAAAATAGGAACTTGACTAGTAAGGAACAAAAGTCAATTCGACATGAGGTGCTAGCGTGCAAGAGGCTCTTATAATTTAGTTTGGCCTTTGACAACTACACTTAATTAAGTTGGAGATATTTAGGCTTCGCTCAACTAACAAAGCGCGCACACGAAAACTCGCCTAAGGCGAGTTCAGACGACGGTTACGACACAACATGACAAGATTGTCACATGCAACAGAATTTATATGAAGTTAAACTGGAAAAATCATAATATGAAAGATGGTATGAGATACACAGTATGTAGTAGTTTGTGCCTGTATACTGGTCTCCGCTAGTCAGGGACAGCCACAATGTGCTTTAAAGTATGGACCCGACCACCAACAGATTGAACGCACTAATAAAGATGTGCTCTACGAGAAGAACTTATCTATGTTAGTAGCGGAGCAATAAGAAGACAAAGCACGCTATGGCAATGGCTGTTGAAAAATCGCGCAAACTCTATCTACCACTTTGTAAAAGTGTTGGCAGACCAGTATTTTTGTGTAAGTGACAAAATATTAGTTGTCTGAACTCAACTTTACGGTGAAGGTTTGCCAGCATTGGGCGTAGCGAGTTAGTGACCCCCAAATACGGTGTCACAATATTAGGTTTGTAACGGAAGAAACTCGAGTGTTCAACTTAGTAAACTTGTTTCAGTATGTTCAAAGGTTTAAAACATTCTGGATAGATTTTAGAGAAGGGATGGTGAAACTTTGACCACGACAAAAGAAAATAATAGAATGGATCAGACGCTTCTAAAATCAGGAGGAATTGGACTTTATGTTTCTCATTATAAAAACAAAAAGGCTATGCAACCTTGTTCTATTTAAATGTTTACGGACTAAGACTGTGCGCCATTTAATCGGAGTTAATACTCCGATAAAATAGTGATTCACAATACGGAGGAGTGATGATGGTGACAATAATATAACTATATACATAAACATGTCAGGTACGTGAAAACTTAAAGTTACACATCAAATGGCTTATTTATTAGATAACACCGTGATTACATGTTATTCCTTATTCCATAATCGATTCAAGAGCTTTTCAATAATAAACAAATAGAGCGTATACAGAATCATAATATTTATATAAATCAAAATATTTTCATTATAACACGTTAAAGAATTGCGAATAAACGAATTAAAAGTAAACAGTGATTGATCATGGTTGTCGGTTCGCTGCCAGTGAATCATTTAGCTATGCCCTAAAACCAGGGGCTCCCGTCAGGCGAGCCGTGTCATAGGTTGTTCGGTCATTCACACTATGGCTTATTTTTAGTGAACCAACAGTAGATAAGCGACGGCACCCCGATAACAGCGGTAAATGTGCCGATTCACCCAACTGTTTTGAATATAAGTGATTTATTTTCCCGTACCTATCCAATCTATTTTGATCACCGTGAAAGTGGCATACGCGATAAAATAAACTCTGTTCATCATTTAGAGCGCCTATACCGTAGTTATTCATTTTAAAATATCAACTAGCTCAGATATACTTAAAAATAATGAGAAACATCAGTTAAGGGTATTGAACAACTAGTTATGACCTTATTTACATTTCTTGTCTCTTAAACCGGCATATAAAAAGAGCTTCATCGATTATGATACCGATTATTGTCTTTTATCTATTATTTTTATATAGCCGTAATGTTGTTTTAATTTTCATAATAAGAAATATGAGAGAGTCAAAATTCAGATAGACAATTTGACGTTACAAGATTGAAAGCTCAACTACACAAAAAGCAAAGGCGCCAAATATAAATAGAAAGAGCAAAATGCTCAGGGAAAATGAACCGTATAAGTATAACAATACACGCCCTTTCTCATAATGTGATTGAATACTCAGGCCTACAAGTTCGAATACGTTTCTTTCCAAATATCCATTGTGCGCGGCATTTCTATTTATATACGATACAAAATTTCTTATTACTCTGTCTTTGAATATAAAAATATGTCCATTTACTGAGAGTAAATTTCGTTATCATTTAAGAAGCTTTTCATTTTACCATTAAATTCGACACAGAGATATACGGTTTCTCGTAAAATATTGCGGATACAAAAAATCTACTTTGCAAAGCATTCGGTATTTAAACAGTATTTACATTGAAGTATTATAAGATTCTGATAAATTTTTGATTGATACTCGTAACTATAAAAAAAAGGAAAAAAATAGCGCTCCAATAAACCTGGCGAACCATTCCAATATTATTGAATACTGAATTCATGCGAACTCGTACGTTCGATAAATAAATTAAAGTATCGGACAGCAATTCACCGAATAACGTAAAGTTGAGTCCACTCACACGTTGTGTACTCGACTTTAGTATATAAATCAATCAAAAACGAAATCAACAGATAAATTAGTTGGCTGTGTCCACACCGCGTCTGCCACATTTATGATTTATGAAATGTTTATTAACCTAGGCCCGCGTTATGTTCTAGGTTAACAGACCAAACTTATAACGAGTTACATACTAAATCAGCTATAACATAAAAATTAATAACATTTATAAGTCGGACTAATTTTATGATGGCAAAACGAAACCATCGTTTAACTGATTTGTTTTTAACTTTTGAGAGTCTCGCTTCTCTTAATAAAATTAGTGTAAAACCCACGCAACATACCTGTTGCCTCCACTAACATTCATTAGTCAACTTCTTGAGCCATTAATTAGCTCAAACTAATCCTAGGAATATTCCTTAGCGTATATCTCCCCAAAGACCTTTTGAGCTTATGGATGCCTTACTCTCATTAAAATGCTACAAAGCTATTTAGAGAACAGCAAAATGATTTTTCATTAAAAAAATGATTGAAGGAAAGATTAATTATTTACTTTTAAGTTATCGATAATGAGATGGTTAATTTCGTTACTTCGGTTAAGAGCTAATTCGTTTTGCGAAAATTCTTTTAAGTTCTGAATCAGTGAGTAATTCAAAACTTTGTACGATTTTAAACTGCTGATTTTGGTTCCATACAACGAAACGCAGCACTATACGGAAGCGATACAGATCCCGTATCGTTTACTTGTATTATCTGTCTTATTGTACATTTCCGCGCCTGCCAAGAATAGATTATACTCAAATCATTCGAGTAACTCAATTGAATGCACGTACGTCTGAAAGTATAGACTCAAATCATTCACCGCTAAACTAACGTCATAAAAGACCGTATACAATTGTAAGACCACGATAAAATTTAAATTGTCATTGATAATTTGCAATAGTTTAAATATGGAGTTAATGTATAGAAATAACGAGAATATACACCATGTCAAAAATAAAATAGAAATAGGATAAATAAAGAAAAATTTTACACGCGTAATGTAAGAGTATAAATCAATAGAATAAGAAAATTTAAGCATAGGAAAATAGACTGTGAGCCTGTCCAAGATATGGATGGAAGAGGGGAATAATAGAAAGATAAAGTTCGCAGGGCGTATGAGACAGAGGAGAGAACTGACATATTCCTACTGCAGAGCGGGAGCGGTAAAAAAAACTAACGCCATAGACACAGAGCTAACGTCCCAGAAAAACATCTCGGTCCGATTACGTATCATTATATTACAATTGGCCTGAACACGACGTAGGTTGATCGTGACGTGTGCGATGAACATAGATATTAATCGCGATAACGCGCATTCGATATAATGTTATCTATGCTGCCTGCGCCCCGACAGTTGAACGAGACACGCAAACATAAATCGACGGGCTCGTGATCGGTGTTTTTTCAACTTAAAGTAACCAATGTTGGCGAAATCAGCCGTTGTAATTTATTCAAAACTAGCTTTTGCCCGCGATTTCGTCCGCTTGGTATAGTTACTTAGAGAAGCATTTCTAAAACGGATGGAACGAACGGATTAAAGAAGATGGGCCATGAACCTCCACGCTGGTTCAATGCGGATTGGAGGGCATTAACGGTAGCAAATGTAGCAGGAACAATATTGTGTCTTCCGAATCATGGAGAAGCTTGAAATAATTTTTTTGGTTACCCATCCCGTGACCGACATTTTTCATTGCCCCTAAAAACTTTCACTCCCATTTTCATCCCTTTAAGTGCTAGATTTCATGATAAAATATGACTCATGACATAACGTCTTAAACTACCCAAATACCCAATTTTTATCGATATAGATCCAAAATTAAAGAAGATTCATATAAATGTTTTCACCCTTTTTGACCCCCTTCGAGGCGGAATTTCCAAAAATCCCTTCTTAGTACACCTCTATAAAATAAGTATTCCAAATTTTATGTTTGTCTGTCAGTCAGTAAGGTAAACATCTCCTTTTATATATGTATAGATAACGACATTGCTATATGAACTTTAGATTTTATAAAACTCTAATATTTATTTTCTTGGAATTAACGAAATTAAATATCGTCCTTACATTAAAATAGACCTCGCAATTAACACCTCTGTCGTCGGAATACAATAATTTCTACTCAATAAGCATTAAGATAATATCGTAGATTTGCTATTCACTGGTGAAGTTTGGTAGTTTAGCAACAGCTATGCTGTTTTGTAATAAAAATCTGCCTGGAGAACTTGATGTCGAGCATAGCGCAGCCACTTCGTAGAGGTCAGTAAAACAAAAACTTTATGATATTTTCAAAAACGTTTCATCTGATTTAAACTCTTTATTATGAATGCTGTGGTTCGACGTCTTCTGATATTATTACAGAATTGCATAGCTGGTAATAAAAAAAACGATTTCTCACATGTCTAACTTAATCTACGCTACGCCCTTTACAACTTCACTGTCTGTTTGACTGAACGCAATTAACTCAAAATCTAGTAAGCAGATTTTCATAAAATTTTATACATATAAGATATGCTAAATTCACTATGTTAAAACTGAAGTAAATAATTAGAAAAAAAAACCATGAACAGATTGAAAGGTAAACGGTAAATTGGACTGTAGGGTATAAACTAAGTAACACTTGACACAAACAAACTCACCGCAAACTCAAAGTTAAATAACATGCAGACACTCAATCAAGATACTCTGTAAGTAATCAGCAAAGGCAACGTGACTAAAATACATTAACTGCACATAACGCACGCTAGATTCACGTCCACATGTAGGCGTGAGGTAATTAAACGCATATTTTCACCTAAACGGCTATTATATTACATAATTTTTTCAAATTTATTATTGGCGAAACTAACTATAAACATACTGTTTTCCCATGCTATCGCCCGCGTATATTGTAACCAATGTCAAAATCCGTCCAACAGTTCAACATAATTATTCGCTCTTCCAATATACATTGTATGTAGAGCTAAATTTTAAATTGATTCCTCTCTCTGTGTGTGTGTCTAGTGATCTAATTCAGACTTTAAGAGGGCGTGTAATCATATATAAAGATAAAATGTTTCTCTTAAAAATATTATACTTAATATTTAAGCCTCTTAAGTTCTTGCAACATGCTCTACATGACTATCGCTAATTGCACCCACTTCTCACATCAAAACTTTGCATATCTATACACCGTGTATTCCTACAAAGCATCTCAAAGCTCTTCTCGTTTCGAGACTTAAGTTACCGTGAGCCAGGTTCAAAATCGACTAGAAATGAACTTTTAAGCCATAAATTATGTTTAAATCGAAACTCATCTAATTGAAAACCAAATACACTACTCATTATATATTTAAAAAAATAATATTGAAGGTAAAACATTGTTCATTATATCTTCTAAAACTTAAATTTCAAAGGTCAAATTAAGATTACGCCTAAAACAAATCTGACTTTATTAAACACTAGCTTTCCCACGCCCAAGTGATATTAAAGCCTAAGTTCCCGTAGGTTAAATATTTTATAAATTTTGTGATCACTAAGTCCCGGGCATCTGAGACAAAATATTTGATGAACTGACATTATAAATAAATATTATAAAGACCACGTTAATATAGCATAAGCGAGTGACAACACAGTCATACTTCTTCAAAGAACGCTCTATTGCCGGATGAAGATTGCAAGTGGGTACACATCGTAAACACGAAACAGGATGCGGTTAATTGTTGTCATTTCACAATCGGAGCCGGCGTCGGCTAGAGGTTCAGACTAGGTTATGATGAGTGGGTACCTAGAGTATGTCATGTTCTCTTTAGACTCTCCTAAGGTATCCTTAATAAATAAATAAATAAAAATAAAATCATTACGTTCCCAAAACATGATGGGCGGCCTACGCACCTTGCTCGTTATCGGGTGTTGCTGGTCAAATCTGCTCTAGATAACTTAGTCCATTATCTTATATTATGCATGCTTAATAATTAATTATTACCAATGACGAATGAAATGTTGTTTTCAGGGCGTTCTCTGTTTCTTTAAATTGAATCCTTGATTATCGAAAACTAATTGTGAAACTTATCTTCTTTAACAAAATACAATAATTTACTAGAGCATTCGATTTCTTTTATTTACATAATGAACGTTAATATACAAAGCGATAATGATTAAAAGTTAAGCGAACACTAAATCGTATAGAAAAATGTAATGAGGGGCACGATTTGAGCAGTTACCGAATGTTATAATCCCCAGAATGGAATACTGAAGTAACTTAATTATTCTTAAATGAAATTTTGATACACCGCTTATTGATAAACTATAAATTTTCCCCTACTATGTAAATGGTTAAACTATCGTTAGAATTTTTATGACATATTAATATTAGATAAAATTCCTTATTTTTTCCTTGCCTTTAATACTTGTAAAAGAATTACCGCTATCGCGATATTTTTATACGGATGAGAGGCAAAAATCGTATAATTAGATCGGTCCACTTATGGTGGGAGCAAGTGTAGTCCTTTATAGGCACTCTTTATGGGACAGTAAACGACTCTACTCGGCTCTAAGCTCTATGCCCTTTTATAACATGCCTCTATCCTATTGTAAAGGCGCGGGAACTTTGCGAAATTATTCTTATGAGCACAGTACCATAAATAATTGAACGTGTACTTTAACAAGGTTCGTGTAAATTGCCGGTCACATAATGTGTATGACCGACGGTCATACACATAACAGTGAAAGGTTTAAGGCTCCACGTACAATTAAAACAGACAACGAGACGAAATCAATGCGAACATATCAAGCCATAGAAAAAAGCTCGACTACAAGGAGAAATATAGAAATTAGTGATTTTCCAGAAAAGCTTTGTAATTGTTTTTCTATGGACGGAACTATTTCTATGGACTATTTCTTTGTATAAAATTTACGTTAATGAGTTTTGGTATACACGTCTCCTTTAAAGAAACAATGAATCCAGTCATCGTTGCTGTTTAGAAACTTTCAAATATGAAACAACATTCATAATCTTCCAATCATTTCCATATCTCACATTCACACTTACCGGAAGAGATCGAAAATGAAATATATCAAAGTAAGTCTTAATTTATTATATGAAAAAAATACTAGCAAGTCTCATATTTTTCTCTGTTCCGATGCACTTATATACCTTCTGTACCTTCTAATGTTATGAAATGTACATTACCACAACTACGCGTTCAAATTATTGAAAAAACCCTGCAGATTTCTTATATTTTCACGCGCACTATCCATAAAAGAATTTTAAAAAAATACAAACGGGATGAAACTGTTTAAAAAATGTGTCATTTATAAAACCTATTTTTAAGAGTATCACCAGTCCATAC